TACGTAAACCCTCCAATTCAATCTCATCTCTCACTTTCCTTCAAAAACCAGAAACCCAATTCTCTCTCTAGAATTTGATCATTCTCTTCGGTGAAAATCAAAGCGGAGACAGTTTAGAAATGGAATCAAACAACTCGTATGGAACATCGTGGGCTGATCAATGGGACTACAACTCCGACCCACTCCCCACCGCCGAGACCAAGAAGAGCGCCGGGGCCGGCGCCGGCGGTGGTGGATTTGGCAAGAAGGTGGGAGAAGGCTTCGGGAAGACAAAAGTGGTGGCGTCGACTGGGATGAAGAAAGTGAAGGAAGGGACCACCGTAGGGTTTCAATGGATCAAAGACAAGTACCATAAGACCACCCAAAAACGCTAGATATATATATATATATATATACATGTACAGATGTTATAGAGATATACAGTTTTGTATCTCTGTCTCTGTTAGGTTTTGTTGAGTTTCATTCTTGTGCTACTGTAGGTTCACCTCACTTCTATTTATTCATTTTGTTCATGTAGAATAAACCTTTATATATTTGATGGTTATTTTATTTTTTGTAAAATTTTTGTTTTGATTTCCACTTTTTTCTTTTATGTGTGTTTTTTTCTTTTTCTTTTTTGGTTCAATTTGTTCAGGGTGTTTAGGAATTGAATTTTTTTTAACATTTTACAAAATAACGTTTAAAAAAAGAGAGAAAATAATTTGATAATTTTTAATAATTTTTCTAATATTTTAATCTATACGGGATTTGAATTTAATTGTGAAAATAGTAATGTTAGAAATTCACATTTTACATTGAAAAAAATACATTACAAAGGTGATTAGTCTTATATAATTTAGTATATAACTAATAAAAAATTAACAATTATCAAATTAATTGTAGAGTTTTTTACGCTATGTTTGATTGGGAAATTTTGAAATAAATTTGGAAAGAGAATGAGAAAAAATAAGTGAAATGAGAATAAAATATATCTATGTTTTTCTTAATTTCACATGCCTTTTTCATTGCTATTTTCAAACCCCTATCCACCTCCCCTAACCAAATAGTATTAAGATCTCAACTATTTTCCTTGCGAAAATTAGTAGTTGGGATAGCCTTCTGCATGTTAATTCCAGTCCTTGAAAAGAACAAATTTACAATACCAGATCAAAAAGATCAGAAAACTAAACAAACAGTTTTACATCAATGGTCTGTGTTTAATCTGGTTTTTGTGGGACTCACATCATAAGCAAATTCTAACCTTTGATTTGGCATTTTAGGCAAATTTCTGGTTTTGTGTTCTGGGTTTGTAGACACCTCCCTTGCAAAATAGCCTGAGCGAGGTCCATCGCTTTTTTTGGTTAAAAAAAAAGACAAAAAAAAGGTCCATCACCTTTAAGTTTCTGAAATCCACGGTCTACACGATTGAAATTTTATGAGACTATTTTGCCCTTATTATCCATGCTTCTTTTAATTTTTAATTTTTAATTTTTTTTTTTACACGGTTTGCATAGGTATAGATTAGCTAAAAAGAATATCAAACTCTTTTTTATATGATTTGATTATGCTTCTGTAATTAAGCTTAAAACAAGTCAAAACGCATTGAATAGTAAGTTATTTAAATTTGATTTGATAATTAAACGAGCTTAAAATTATATTCAAACTTGAGTATTCACATAATGATAGATTTTAAACGAGTTTTTAATTAACTGAACACAAATTAAATTTGAATCAAATAGCTTCATTTTTTATATTGCAAATAGCTTGATTTAAAAACTTAATAAATTTAAAATTATATTCAAATTTGACTTATTTATGTAACGAATCAGAGAGTATTTGGTGTGCATTATAAAAGTTTAGTTTTTTTTTTTTTTTTTTTTAAGTCAAATCATTTTTTCACTTTTTTGTATATTCTTTAATAAAAAAGTTTTAAAATATGTTTATTTAGATCATACCAAACAATTCATTTAAATAAATTTTTAACAAACAAAATATTAGACAAGTCCAAATAGCTTTTGTTTAACAACCCTATCTATAATTTGCATAGTGCAACAACTCATAATTCGAACCAATAACATGGTCTTTTGTTGCAGACCATTTCAAATTTGAAATAAGGTAAAGAACAATGTAATGTCACATCCATAGTTTTAAAAACGACCATGCTACGTAGCTCGAAACCGCGGCTCGAAATCGCGACTCGACACCAAAACGACGTCGTTTTGGTGTCGATTTTTTTTTTTTTTCTTTCTTTCTTTCTTCCCTGGTTTTGTTACAGAACGAAGAAGAAGAAGAAGAAGAAGAAGAAGGGAGAAGAAGAGAAGGGAGGAGGAGGTGGGAGGGGAGGAGGAGGGAGGGGAGGGGGCCATAAAAACCGGTTGGAGGAGGAGGGGAGGCTAGGCAGCAGGAGGAGGAGGAGGGAGGGGGGGGGGCCATAAAAATCGGTTGGAGGAGGAGGGGAGGCTGGGCAGATGACGGTGGTGCTGCGACGTCGGCGGGGCTGGGTAGACGACCGGGGCTGGGCGAGGCGACGGTCTGCTGCGACGATCGGCGACGACCCACGGCGACGAGCCCTCTCCTCTCTCTTTCTCCCTTTCTCCTCCTCTTCCCTCTCTTTCTCCCCTCTTCTTCCATTTTCGAGCCGTTTCGAGCTCGACCCTTTCGAGCAATGAGACATTTTCGTTTTAAAAATGGATAAATCACAAACGGTTCCTATTAGTAACTTGAAAATTATTGGCTTGAAACCCAAAATGACATTGTTTTGGGGTTTTTTTTTTTTTTTTTTTTTTTTTTTTTTTTTCTGAAGAAGAAGAAGAAGAAGAAGAAGAAGAAGCTAGAGATCATCATCAACAACAACATCTTCATCAACATCATCATCATCAACACATCATCATCAGCCAACAAATTTTTTTTTTCCCCCCTTCATCTTCATCTTCATCTTCATCTTCATCATATCCAGATCTAGATCCAGATCCAGATCCAGTAGAAAAAAAATAAAATAAATAACAACACCATCTTCATCAACACATCATCATCATCAAACAACAACATCTTCATCAATATCATCATCATCATCAACACATCATCCTTCTGCAAGAGATGAGAGGGATGAGAGAGATCGAGAGGTGAGAGTGCAGAGGCAGAGAGGAGAGGGGAGCACAGCAAAGGGAAAGGAAAGGAAAAGATAGAGAGGAGAGAGAAGTTCGTACTTTCGAGCCGTTTTGAGCCAAAACTTTCGAGCTACGGATCATTTTCCAATTACAAATGCATCTTGAAGTTTGATTAAAATACAAATCGCCCCTGTAATTTTAAAAATTACATTCCATCCCCTGAGATTTTTAACTTCATAACAAATGATTCCTTTTATTAATAAATCATTAAGTCAATTAATTATTTTTAATGATGTTAAAAATATGTTTCAATTAATAATTTAGATAATTTTATTATTGTATAGGAAAACAATTATGAATTTCATTTTTTTAGTTAATTTTGTTAAATAAAAAATTCTAATAAAAAAGTATTTGTAATTTTTCAAATTATAAAAAATAATTTATATTTTAAACAAATCTCAAAATGTGAATTTGTAATCTATCCTTTAAAAATATGTTGCCGTGATTAGGTATCGTATGGGCACCACTATCCTTTATTAACAATTAAATTTAACATATGTAATGTATGTTATCATTATATAAAATCTATAACATGTTATTTTGTTAATGCTACCGTCGGTAGGTAATAGTGTCGACCATGGGCGGAACTACGGAGGGACCGGGAGTGGCCTCCCATTTTGGAAAATTATGTATTATTTTTTTTATATTTTATTAGTATTTATAATATACATATATGATTATTCCTAATTTAAAATAATGAAAAAAAAACACTTTAGTAACTATTTATTTCAATAGCCAATCAAAAAAAAAAAAAAAACCTTATCTATTTTAATATTATTTCACAAGTTAGTTAATAATATAAATTTTATCAAGTTAATGTTATTATAAATAAGTGGTACATGTCCCTTTTTTTAAATTTTTTTTTATGAATCAAATGGTATGTATATATTTTTTTATATACATACCTTGGCCTCTCTTAAACCAAATCTCTGGTTCCGCCCTGGTGTCGACGGCGTCTGCTATATTTAAAAGTTAATATTTTACTCATTTTCTCCACTTTCAACTTTTATTTTATTTTTGCACTCAACATTAAAAATTGAACATAAAAGTTATTAAGTTTTTTTTTAGATGGCTAACTTGTAAGTTGTATATTGTTATTTGTCAGAAATGATATTCACATATATTTATTGAACATATTTAACTTACAAATTTAAAACACAACATAATTATTATTAATAACAAAATAAAAAACAGCATTATGAACTTATTACAAATGAAATCATTAAATGTTTTAAAAAAATTGTCAAATCTCTCTTCATAGTAACCTGAAAATAGTATAAAATTTAAAACATGTATTACATCATGTTAAAAAAAAGAATATACTAAATTCTCCACGCTACAAGAATTTACACATTTTGCGACCACTTTTGCCGACCAAAAAAATTTTGGTCGCAAAAAAATGACATTTGGCGACCAAATATTAATTAGTCGCGAATGATCATTATTTTTGACGACCAAATATTATTTGTCGCAGAAGGTTATATTTTGGCGACCAAAAAATATGTTGGTCGCAGAAAGTGGTATACTTTTGCCAACCAACTACAAATTTGGTCGCGGAAGGTCACATATTTTTTGGCGACCAAAAATTTAGTCGCGAAAAATTTATTTTCAGCAACCAAAAAAAAGTAGTCGCCAAATTACTACTTTTAGCGACTAATATTTTAGTCGCCGTTGATTGAGATTTAGCGACTAAAATAATTTGTCGGCGAAATAACTTGTTTTTGCGACTAATTTAAGAGTTTAGTCGCCAAAAATTTGGGAAAAAATTTGAAAGATGAAGGGGGAAAATATATATATATATATATATATATTTTTCAATTTTTCCTTACGCCTCACTACCTCAGGCCCCTTTTCTTTAGATTTTGCCCTAATTTCTTGACAGACCCAACAAACAAACCCAACAACACACACGCAGAGACTCTCTCTCTCTCTCTCTCTCTGTCTCTTTACCCTACCATCCGACGATCTACACAGTGAACCCAACACATCCGACTCTTTCTCTCTCCCCTCTGTCGCTTCTCTCAACCTAATTTCTGATTCCTGGAACTTCCACACCGATCGCATCCTTCCCGTAATCTCTCTCTCTCTCTCTCTCTCTCTCTCAACTCATCTGAATGTATAGAGACTGGCTAGGTTACTTCAGAGACTAATAGTTCTCTTTCCAATTCTAGGGTTTTATATTTCTGTAAAAATCTGAGAAATTTGAGATTGATTATAGTTTCTGACGGATAATACTGATTTCACGGTGATTGGGGTGATCGGACTGCCTAGGGTAGGGAAGTCGACGATAATGAATGAGCTCTATGGCTTTGATGGAACTTCACTTGGTAACATATACATATATGCTCTTACTCTTCTATATATGTATATGATTTTCTGTTTAGTTCATAAGAAAGAATGATAGAAAATAATACTAGAAATATGAAGGTGGTTTTGATAGAAAGCTTCTTCAAAAGAACAAATCTGTTGTGTTTTTCCCAAAAGGTACTGTAAATTTTGAATTTTTTTTTGATTTTTTTCTGATTAAAACATTGAAAAGTTTGATGGGTTTGTTCTAATTTGCTACCCCTTTTTTTTTCTGATTAAAACACTGAAAAGTTTGATGGGTTTGTTCTAATTTGCTACGGAGATCAGAAGGATTTTTGACTTATTTATTTATTTATTTATATCTCAGATGTATTATTTATTTATTTATTTGTGTAAACTGTTACTTTATTTTTGACTTATAATTAGTTGATTTAAATCTTATTGACATAAATGAACTACAGGTTCATTATCCTTTACAGGCTATTCAGAGTGTCCCCTTTTCTGAATCCAAAGTGCGGCTTCTTGAAGCACAGGTCAGCTGTTTAAACAATCTTAACTTATTCTCTGTATTTTTCTTTTGTAATTTTTTCAATAATATATGCCCTTTTGAGGATTATTTTGATTTCTATAGTAAAGTGAAGCAAGTTTTGTATATGAGTATGTTAATGCATCAACATATTATGTGTATATATCTGTTTGTACATATGAATATTTGCTTCATTAACAAACTTGATTGTTTCTGCAGAAGGCTGAACTAAGGTGTCTTTTACCTAGAAGCTTGATGGATCATGATTTTTTTTTTTCCACCATCCTCACCACAGAAAGAAAGTAATGATAAATGCGCCATTGATCGATTTTGCAACTATAGTTGGTGTGGGCAACGCAAGATGCCTTCTTACGTAAAAAAGCTTGTTTTCCCTAAAGATTTCTTCACTAACTTGAGGACAATAGCCAAGCAGGAAGATGAAATTTATCAAGTTTCATCATTGCTGCAACTTGATTTTGAAAACATGAAAACGATAAAACAAAACCAAAATCACAACCGAACATATTTCAGTTGGTAATATTGTCATTAGATCAACTATGAGAATTAATGTTGTTTTGCAGGGACATGAAATGCAGATGAGAGTGGTTAATGGGCTTAAATCTTTAGCCAAAAAATTCCAGAGACCTTTTGTATTTGTATATCTAGAATTCTTCACAAGTTGGTGAAAAATTATAGCCATGTCGATTTATGATTTAGGTGGATTCTTCATTTGCTATTTTTTGTCTCTAGTTATTTATTTATTTAAGTGAAAATATTTGTCTGATACAGTTAAGATTATATATCTGAGTTTGGCTCCAAAAGTTGAGTGATTATTCACTAAAGTATGCATGTCATACCATCAGGATTACTCAAGTGGATGTGATGATTTACTCAAGTTCAACTACAAGATTTTCATATATATATATATATATATCCATGGAGAACAAGAAAGAGTTGGAAAAAAAATGAAAACTACACTTGTTCTCATCTTAAGTGTTAACAAAGGTTTAAAAGGTTAGACTTAATGACACTGGCGATCAAAGTTCCGAATGTCACTTATTCTGGGTAAACAAAGGTATGACTTCACATTTAGGAGTGTAGTGGAAGGAATGCAGCCTCTATGCCAGCAAAACCTAAGAGCTGGTACCTTCAACTTTGCCTTTCTGTCACTTGCTCGTCTAGCTTTGCTCTCCATGGAAACTATAACAAGTTATCCAACCTAATTGATTTGTCTGTCCTAAATTGTGTTTTTTAGCACAGAATGGATGAATCCTCATTAATTGATTTGGCATGTGGCACTCTAACTTGGGATTTTTGTTAGTTTAAAATAAATAGTTGAACCCTATCACTTTTATTTTTGTTAGTTTTTTGAACCATAGTAGCAATGTGGTGAGACCACCAAATAACCTCCTCTATTGCTTTTTGTAAGTGGTGTGGTGTGGTGGGGGTGGGGGTTCAAAGCAGTGTTGGAGCCACCAATACCCTACAACTAGACTGGATTAGTAGTTTAATTTGGAAATTGAGTTTGCATCATCACACCAGACCAGACTAGAACAAACTGAGGCTAACTGATTCAACAAACAACTGAACCTGAATTACATTCTCATTCCCTTCTTTTGTTGCCAGCTTCCACACCACATTGAAATATTAGTCTCAGCAGTCACTCAAATCAATGAACTGGACAGCCTGTATGGGATTATCCAGTCACACAAGGTTAGTCAGTAAACTATATAATATACAGAAGTTACGATCCTTTATGTTGTAAAGTTTAGTAATGTACTTCATATTGTTGATCAAGTTGATGATTTGTGCATGGAGCAGTAATCAGATTCTGTGATTCAGATTGAATCCTGATTTAGTTTGTAAATCCCTCGGCCTGCAACTTCAAAAAAATCTATAAGGGACATGAACTTTGTTGTTTAACTGGTAATGAATAGAAGATATGGAAACTAAGCTTTTATCTTTCTATTTTCTTATTTTAATTCCTACAGATTTGCGTGCAGTCTTTCTTATAATAATTTGTGAATGGCTATTACTCGTCCACTTGTCATTGCTTCTTTGTTTTTTATTCATAACTTGAATAATTTTATCTGGTTTACATCTCTTGTGATCTCTAGGTCTTATTCTATTTCAAAATCCCCTGCGTCACTGTTACTTCTTGGGTTCTTATGCTCTGATCACTTCTATACTCACATTTCTCTACTTTAGACACTGAGGAAAGCATATGGTCTCCTGTTGTCACTTGGATGTAGGTGAACACTTTGTTTGGGAGAGGAAGATGGTTATTTATTAGGGTCTGCACTCAGGCTTGTACATAATCTTTGTTTAGGCCATACAGAAGTCTGTGTCCTCCTATTTTCCTTATTCAAATTTCCTGCATCATGATAATACACAGATTTGTTGTCCTGGTTAGGGTAATTATTTTTTTATCAATATGTTGGAATAGATTTATCAATATGTGTACCTTTGATTAGTTGAGGTTTGGGTTGACATGAGGAGCTTAGATGACCACTCAACAAAGCCCTCTCCCAAGTATTTAGAGTAGGCCAATAAGTACAGAGATTCTGGGCTTGTTTGGTTTGCTTTTGGGAGAGTTATTGTTGAAATTTTTTTTCAAAATTTTGTTTGGTTTGTGATTTTTCTCAAAAAATTTCCAAAATCATTTTTCTCTCTCTTACACATCAATCAATCACTTTTTCTCTTTCCTCTCTCCTTCTCAATCACTTTTTCTCTCACACATCTACTCAATTACAATAAAATATCAAATCATCCCGAACTCCCAAATTCCAAAACTACTCTCAAAATATACAACCAAACAAATCAAAAAAATTTCTAGACTCTCTCCTCAAATATTTTTTTTTTTTTTGAAAATCACTCTCTCAAAAGCAAACCAAACACACCCTCTATTTGTTTATTTATTATTATTTTTTTTAATAAGACACAATAAAATTTGGTTGAAGTTTTGGAAGTAAGCATGCACAAGGATGATATATCTGTTAACAAGAAATTGTATAATTGCACATAATAGTTCCCCCTTCCAAAGAAATAACTGAATAAAATCAAATGAAGAGTAAAACTATGAAAGAATAGCCCCAAGTCCCGTCATGGATAGTAAGGTTCCCCTTACTCTTAACAAAATCACCCTTTTTGGACAAGTTGTTGGCAGCCACTTCAACCTCCCTATGCCAACCTAGTATCAGCCTCATCAAGAGTGGAAACCGTGTCCAATATTTCTTTCATAAAATGAGTGTCATTCTAAGAGGCATGTGATCAAAATCTCACCTAACCCACTAGGGGTGTGGGCAGATCAGTTTGGGCGGTTTGGGAGAAATAATCTCAACAACCAAACTGCCCTCAGCGGGTTGACAATTTCATAACCCACCACCAAGCCACATGACTAAGGGTTAGTTTGGGGTGTCCTAAAAAAGTGTACTTTTTGTCTTTTTACGAAAAGATGTGCAGAAAAGTAGAGAGGTGATGTGATGGAAAAAAGATAAAAAGATGGATTATATAGGTCATGCCAAACCAGGCCTAAAACTGGCGTGTTGAACAGGTTGGCAAGTTGTAAATTCTGACATATTATGTGAATAGATTCTAAAGTAATATAGAACCTTATACTATATTTATGAGCTACAAAATCAAAATAAAAGAACTGCTTGATAATATATTTGTGTTCAAGAAGTGGCAGAGAGAAGCATGGGCAATGAGGAGTGTGGAGAGTCAAAAAATGAGAATATCTATTTAGAGTTGAGGTATTTAATTTATATGTAAGTATTGGTGGGTTGAAGATTTTGAATTGCACATAACCCAACCCAACCCACATAAAATTAGTGTGGAACCCACCCAACCCAGCTCAACCCACCAACACTCTCAAACCACAGGTGGTGGAGTGGTTTGGGAAGTTTGGTGGGTTTTTTACGCACCCTAACCCACAACGTAACTGGAATCATAGAAAAGGCCTCCAAAGCCTTTCAGAAGAGCTAAAATCTCTGCCCCATAATGACAGCTATTTTCCTACTGGCTTGGAAAGAAGAACTGTAGTTTCGGTGTAATAATTTTTGGACTCAAACATGCCCTATGTGTTTCCGCAGTTCATCTACTGACTAACTTGAATTCTCCTCCAACCATGTTAGTAGTTAGCTGAGTAACCTGTTTGATCATCTCTCACCGAGTATGATATTCGTATACAATATTACAGTGTTTTGCTGCATTGTTGCAATTTGGTTTGACCATCTGAAAGATAAATACATACTGTATGCATAGATACACAATATTTTAACTGAATAAATTAAATTATCATGTTATTAATTAATTTATTTATTTCTGATGACATTTACAGTTAACCTCGCAAATCGTTACCTTTGAACACGAGGGAAATTGGAGTAAAGCTTTGGAGTATTATGATTTGCAAGTAAGGTCTGAGGCAGAGATAGAAATGGATGTTCATGATACTTACATATGTGGGAAATTTTGAAAAAATTATGAGAATTTTCACTATGCTTTGAGATTTGATTAAAGAAATCAGATGCAAAAACAAAAACTCATAACATTGCACGGTGTTGTGAAAGGCGCAAGGCGCAAGCAGTGCGCCTGAAGGGACCCAAGCGAGGCGCTTTTAATAAGTTGCACGCCTTGGCCAGGCGTTGAAAGGCGCAAGGCGCGAGACTAAAAGGGCTTTTTTGTTGTTGTTTATGATTCTGATCTAACGGCTTTGATCTGTGTTCGAAAGGTTCCAACCACATAGGATTATAACTCATACAAAGCAATAAAGCCCGTGCCTCACATTGCGCCTTGTGCCTAGGTCCCAAGAGACCTTCAGTGCCTTGGTGCGCTTTGAGCCTTTAAAAACACTGCATGATACTACTTTGCATAGAGCACATAAGGTAGGTAGAGGTTCTCAAGAAAATGAGAGCCAATTTTACCTACCAATCATTGATGACAATAATTAAATTAATCACCCAAAATTTCAATCTTAAATTATCATTGGTCAACCTTTTGCCATATAGAGATATTAAAGAGGAGGGGGGATGTATTAGTAATGTTTGGTAGTTTATGGGGAAGAGATTCCATTAAAAGCAGAGCATGCACGAGGATTATTAAGAGCATCACTTTGAAGTTTATGCAAAAATGCTACCAGTAAATATAATTCATATCTCCATGCCAACTGTACAGGAATAGGTCATATGGATGTGAGACGAGAAGTTCAGAAGAATAATAAATGCTATCATTATTTTTCAAGCATATGGTTTTACTTTTGATGGGTTTCTAATCATAGTATATCAGAAATCAAGTCTTGTAGATTCTTAGTAAACTTCTTGTTGCAACACTTTCAAAGCCATTCTTGCAGGTGCATAGTGTTTCTTTTGCATTCTTTAATTGCTTCAAACTTGTATATAAAGATATGGCTAGAACCTTCTATTATTTCTTATGCATACCTGAGTGAAGTAATGATTTTGTAAATCAGGAAGCTCATGAGCTTAGCTTTTGGTCTTTACATACTGTCAACTAAATTACAGTATATGTGAGACAATATTTAGAGTAATAAATTCTATTGTACATTGGCCTATTTAATGATGATGAAGCAGGAAAATTTTGATATCATGTGTTCTTGAAAAATTGTTTGTTTGGTTTAATTTTTTGGGTGAGAAAGTAGTTTAGTCATATTCCTATTTCTCTGGGCTCCTTGACAATTCATCTCAAGAATAGGAAATATCAGTGGTCTAGGGAAGAAAAATATAATAAGAGGACAAATATAGGTGTTGAGATTATCTACAATTCATATATATATATATATATATATGGGTGGGTAATGGATTGATTTAAAATTTCATTTTGACAGTTATTTGAATTTTTTTATTACAGGAAAAGCATGTCAAAGCTGACATGGGTAGCAGCTTGCCAAGCATTTCTTTGTGGATTACTTGGGTAAGCTGCATTTATTCTCTAATAAAGCAATTACGGTAATCTGACATGGGTAGTATGGTTTTAACCTTAACAACCTTTGCTACTGCCATGACCAATCTTGTTCCAGTCATCACTTTCATTTTGGCCCTCTCTTTTAGGTGCATTTTATATTTCTCACTTTATTTTTTGTTATTCTTTTAAGGGTTGTTATATATAACTAAATGACAATGTGAAAATGTCAGAATAGATCATCAAACTTTTCCTGGCGCTATCTAAAGTCTAAACATGTTAATGCAACCCCCTACATACCATGGGAATAAATTATTACTTGGTGTATATCTTAAAATTCCATAAATGAAGGAAGGTTTGATACTCAACTTGGTTTTGTTTTCAATTTTCATAATCTGAAAATAGAAAGTTTATTTTGAATGTTTAGTGTCTTCTTGGTCTTTTCATATATTGATTCTTTGAGAAATAAGAGTAAAGGAAATCAATTTGTCTTGAAAGTTGGAACCATTTTAGCTCTAGCAAATGGGGCTTTTTTATTTTTTTATTTTATCTTACTAATGTTAGTTGCCGAGTTATAATTTTTTATCAATCTTCATGGTGATTCTTTATTGATATGTGATTGGTTTCCTAACTGCCTAAGCCAAACTTAGATTTCTATGATCCTTGAAAATATTTTGTTTGATTTTTATTTTTATTTTTTATTTTTTTTATATAATTCATTGATTTATGTGACCAAAAAGTAGTCAACTTGACTTTTATATGTTAGCTTTGTCAAGGTCTTCATTATTTTAAAATGTGTTGGTCTCTTGTATATCCACCTTGCATTAGATGAATATGAACTATCGTGTTGAACAGGTTGGCAAGTTGTAAATTCTGACATATTATGTGAATAGATTCTAAAGTAATATAGAACCTTATACTATATTTATGAGCTACAAAATCAAAATAAAAGAACTGCTTGATAATATATTTGTGTTCAAGAAGTGGCAGAGAGAAGCATGGGCAATGAGGAGTGTGGAGAGTCAAAAAATGAGAATATCTATTTAGAGTTGAGGTATTTAATTTATATGTAAGTATTGGTGGGTTGAAGATTTTGAATTGCACATAACCCAACCCAACCCACATAAAATTAGTGTGGAACCCACCCAACCCAGCTCAACCCACCAACACTCTCAAACCACAGGTGGTGGAGTGGTTTGGGAAGTTTGGTGGGTTTTTTGCGCACCCTAACCCACAACGTAACTGGAATCATAGAAAAGGCCTCCAAAGCCTTTCAGAAGAGCTAAAATCTCTGCCCCATAATGACAGCTATTTTCCTACTGGCTTGGAAAGAAGAACTGTAGTTTCGGTGTAATAATTTTTGGACTCAAACATGCCCTATGTGTTTCCGCAGTTCATCTACTGACTAACTTGAATTCTCCTCCAACCATGTTAGTAGTTAGCTGAGTAACCTGTTTGATCATCTCTCACCGAGTATGATATTCGTATACAATATTACAGTGTTTTGCTGCATTGTTGCAATTTGGTTTGACCATCTGAAAGATAAATACATACTGTATGCATAGATACACAATATTTTAACTGAATAAATTAAATTATCATGTTATTAATTAATTTATTTATTTCTGATGACATTTACAGTTAACCTCGCAAATCGTTACCTTTGAACACGAGGGAAATTGGAGTAAAGCTTTGGAGTATTATGATTTGCAAGTAAGGTCTGAGGCAGAGATAGAAATGGATGTTCATGATACTTACATATGTGGGAAATTTTGAAAAAATTATGAGAATTTTCACTATGCTTTGAGATTTGATTAAAGAAATCAGATGCAAAAACAAAAACTCATAACATTGCACGGTGTTGTGAAAGGCGCAAGGCGCAAGCAGTGCGCCTGAAGGGACCCAAGCGAGGCGCTTTTAATAAGTTGCGCGCCTTGGCCAGGCGTTGAAAGGCGCAAGGCGCGAGCCTAAGAGGGCTTTTTTGTTGTTGTTTATGATTCTGATCTAACGGCTTTGATCTGTGTTCGAAAGGTTCCAACCACATAGGATTATAACTCATACAAAGCAATAAAGCCCGTGCCTCACATTGCGCCTTGTGCCTAGGTCCCAAGAGACCTTCAGTGCCTTGGTGCGCTTTGAGCCTTTAAAAACACTGCATGATACTACTTTGCATAGAGCACATAAGGTAGGTAGAGGTTCTCAAGAAAATGAGAGCCAATTTTACCTACCAATGATGATGATGACAATAATTAAATTAATCACCCAAAATTTCAATCTTAAATTATCATTGGTCAACCTTTTGCCATATAGAGATATTAAAGAGGAGGGGGGATGTATTAGTAATGTTTGGTAGTTTATGGGGAAGAGATTCCATTAAAAGCAGAGCATGCACGAGGATTATTAAGAGCATCACTTTGAAGTTTATGCAAAAATGCTATCAGTAAATATAATTCATATCTCCATGCCAACTGTACAGGAATAGGTCATATGGATGTGAGACGAGAAGTTCAGAAGAATAATAAATGCTATCATTATTTTTCAAGCATGTGGTTTTACTTTTGATGGGTTTCTAATCATAGTATATCAGAAATCAAGTCTTGCAGATTCTTAGTAAACTTCTTGTTGCAACACTTTCAAAGCCATTCTTGCAGGTGCATAGTGTTTCTTTTGCATTCTTTAATTGCTTCAAACTTGTATATAAAGATATGGCTAGAACCTTCTTTTATTTCTTATGCATACCTGAGTGAAGTAATGATTTTGTAAATCAGGAAGCTCATGAGCTTAGCTTTTGGTCTTTACATACTGTCAACTAAATTACAGTATATGTGAGACAATATTTAGAGTAATAAATTCTATTGTACATTGGCCTATTTAATGATGATGAAGAAGGAAAATTTTGATATCATGTGTTCTTGAAAAATTGTTTGTTTGGTTTAATTTTTTGGGTGAGAAAGTAGTTTAGTCATATTCCTATTTCTCTGGGCTCCTTGACAATTCATCTCAAGAATAGGAAATATCAGTGGTCTAGGGAAGAAAAATATAATAAGAGGACAAATATAGGTGTTGAGATTATCTACAATTCATATATATATATATATATGGGTGGGTAATGGATTGATTTAAAATTTCATTTTGACAGTTATTTGAATTTTTTTATTACAGGAAAAGCATGTCAAAGCTGACATGGGTAGCAGCTTGCCAAGCATTTCTTTGTGGATTACTTGGGTAAGCTGCATTTATTCTCTAATAAAGCAATTACGGTAATCTGACATGGGTAGTATGGTTTTAACCTTAACAACCTTTGCTACTGCCATGACCAATCTTGTTCCAGTCATCACTTTCATTTTGGCCCTCTCTTTTAGGTGCATTTTATATTTCTCACTTTATTTTTTGTTATTCTTTTAAGGGTTGTTATATATAACTAAATGACAATGTGAAAATGTCAGAATAGATCATCAAACTTTTCCTGGCGCTATCTAAAGTCTAAACATGTTAATGCAACCCCCTACATACCATGGGAATAAATTATTACTTGGTGTATATCTTAAAATTCCATAAATGAAGGAAGGTTTGATACTCAACTTGGTTTTATTTTCAATTTTCATAATCTGAAAATAGAAAGTTTATTTTGAATGTTTAGTCTCTTCACAATGCTAGATAGATTTAATTCTTTGAGAAATAAGAGCAAAGGAAATCCTGCTGCGTTGATTGACTATCAGTTGTTAGTAGCTGCAACAAACAATTTTCAGGAAAACAATGTTTTGGGTGAGGGTGGATTTGGACGGGTGTACAAAGCTTGTTTCAGTGATACCTTTCTTGCAGCTGTAAAGAGACTCCGTGGCATAAGTCATGATGCTGAAAGAGAATTCGAGGTAATTTTGGCCGGATGTCAAGCTTAAAACCTATATGTTAATTTTGTTTTTCTCATTTCGACTAATGGATTTGTTTTTAATTACCAATTCAAATTGCAGAATGAGATGGATTGGTTAAGTAAAATCAAGCATCAAAATATTGTTTCGCTATTGGGTTTCTGCATTCATGGCGAGGCAAGATTTCTTGTTTATGAGATGATGCATAATGGGTCTTTGGAATCGCAATTGCACGGTATTTTTTTTTTTTTTATTTCATTGTCCACATGAATATGCTAAATTCTTTCCTTTTTTTTTTCTGACCTTTTTTTTTTAATATTGATATTTTAGGACCATCTCATGGATCTAGTTTAACTTGGCATCTCCGGATGAAAATTGCTCTAGATGTTGCAAGGTATGCCAATTTTCCAATATCTTGTTATTATATGCATCTGTAATTTCAGAAAGTGCCAGGTCTATTATGTTATTTTACTTTTGAAGGTAAACCCACTCTTGATTGCTTTGATGAAACTATGTTATCAATAACTTGGCACACACATTATATTGGAGTCTTTTCTGACAGAGGGATACATCTGCGTAGGTATGTCTAATAACAATTAGTTTTATTGAGAAAGATTGATCAACTAGAGATGCCTTGGTTCTATTGTTTTGTTTATTTATGAAATTTTGCCCATTTAATACGTGCTTTCAACTTTATCCGAAGAAATGATCGACGTGTTCAGAGAAAATGTTATTTGATCATTTCCAATTTCTTCCAGTATAAATTGGTGAAAAATTTCTAAACAGAGGAGCAGATTTTATGAGGAAAGATTATACAAAAATAGAAGATGACTTCCAAAGAAGCCCAAATTAATATGTTTTAAGACCCAATTACCAAAATCATATTGTTAGAGTTATGTATTATGTTGCTGCTGCTGAGTTATGTGTTGAAACTTGGATATAGAAATTTTATAATAAGACCTGTTTTGATTATGAATTCGTCCTATTTTGATTATGAATTCGCTAAATATTACAGGTGTATTGTTTTCCTGCTTTGGCGATCAATTTATTAGTCGCGACAAATAAATTATTTTTTTTCGCGAAAAATGACAATTGCCGACCAAGAGTTTTGGTCGCAAAAAATACATCTATTGCCGACCAAAAATTTTGTTGGTCGTGGAAACTCACTTTTGCTGACCAACAGTTTTGGTCGCGAAAAGTAACAATTGGCGACCAAACTAATTTTGGTCGCACAATGTCACAGTTGGCGACCAAAATTTTTGGTCGCGAAATGTCACAATTGGCGACCAAACTTTTTGGTCGCGAAATGTGTCAATTGGCGGCTAAGAAATTTGGTCGGCAAAATATGACTTTTCGCGACCAAAATGTTTTAGCGACAAAATGAATTAGTCGCGGTAATTAAATATTTAGCGACCAAAAATTTAGTCGGCAAATCAAACTTTTGCCGACCAACGAAAATTTTGGTCGCGAATTACTTTTGCCGACCCTCAATTGGCGACCAAACTAGCGACCAAAAAAATTGGTCGTGAATAACTTTTGCCGACCAAAAATAGACTTTTAGCGACCAATTTTTTTGTTGCTAAAAGTGTTAATTGTTGTAGTGCCAAAACTATTTTAAATATTAACCAATGTGATTTGAAAATAAAATAAAAGCATACATATCAATAAGTTTTAGTGAAGTTGTGCAAAAAAAATTTAAAAATAAATAAATAAATAAAAATGTTGCACTTGCAATTGTAACGGTTATTTAAAACTTTGGTCGCATTGATTTTCTTGCAGAGCTAGAGAATGTTACTTGAAACTTTCTCCCAAAAAAAAAAAAAAAAGAAGAAAAAGAAAAAAGAACACTATATGAAAATATAATAACTTATTAATTTTTTTTTTACCAAATTAGTTTTTGAAAAAAAAAATAGAAACAAATTAAATAAATAGAAAACTTAAGTAAATTTATGATTCCATAGTTCGTAATATGACAGGTGATATGTGGAAACTATTTTAACATTTCGCCATCAAACTAGTTATATTTGAAAAGTCTTTAGAAGCTATTTAAATTAACAATTTGTATAATGAATAGGTAAAATAAAGAATACTGTTAAAGTGCATGGATAAAAAAATAAAGTGATTATATAAAATAAATAGTGTAGTATTTTGGTACCTTAACTAATAAAAAATAAAGAGTTATTTTTTAGTTGCATTTGCACAAGTTGTTGGGAATATATATATATATATATATATATATTTTCCCATTAACTCAATCATATGTGCTGGACATTTTGTAAAGGGGCTAGCAATTTTTTAGCCCAACTAAACAAATATATAGCTTTGCTAAAGGGTTGGTCCTAAATTTTTTAGGTCCAGTCATCATTCGTTCATGACTGCAAGTGCAAGAAGTCAAACCCTATTCATTCTTCAATAGCAGAAATTGAATTATAATATGACAATATTTTGATTTATTTATACCAAGAGGTATATAATTTACATCTAATTAACATAAACTTCATCACATTTACTAAGATGGAAGAAAATTTTATTTCCCATAATAATGAAACTAGTGTTTTATTTTGCATATGATGAGCTCAATTCATGCCTCTCGTTTTATGTAAGTATATATAAGTTGATAATTTTTGTTGAGCTAAAAAATATTTAATATTGTTACAAAATTAGATAATTTTATTTTTAAATTACAAATGATCAAAACTCTATAAAAAAAAGTATGTAATATTTATTACAAAAATATATAAATATATATCATAAAAATACATATTGTCCACACCCCTATGGATGGAAAGATATACATGAATCACGTATTTATATGAAAACAAAATCTAGTTATATATTGCCCGCATCTTTTCTCCAGTCTAAAATTAGACTGGACAATATTGATGGCCAATGATGAGCCCGATTCTGGACCCATTTCGATAATTTAAACTGTTTAATGTGTAAAACTCGTTGAGTACATAATTCCTACGAAAAATTACATTGATCATATATCAATAACTATTTAATCAGATTATATTTGTTTCAATGACAATTATGATTTTAAAAAAATAAATCGCAAACATAAATACAAGTTGATTAAGTGACTATCGATATTCAATCAATGTGATTTTTTGCATGATTGATATACTCATTGAGCTATACACATTGACAGTTTGGATTAGCGAAATAGGCCCGAAGTCAGGCCCACTGCGACTCAATAGGACCTTCCAGTTCGTTTTCGGACTAGAGAAAAGTTGAACCCTTATGTAAAAGGTGAAATTATCTCTACAGGGAAAGCAAGATGATGTGTCCTGCCCTTTGAGTTTTTCAAGAGAAACCAAATGCCAGTGATCACACTCGACTAGGTTTGATTGGGAGGCTCTTTGATGATCAAGTCAATATATTGATCGAATATAATGAAATATATAGTTTTGAATTGAAAAAAATATTTTTGAATTACCTGTTGCCTGGCCCTTAGTACTTTACCTAATGACCCTCTTATAGTTATTTGGCTTAAATCTTGTTCGTTCATTTATCATTTGATTGGAGGGCTTTGTCTTTGTGTGGCAATCACTAATCTAGTTGCCAAGTTGCTGATTCCTTTGACCATTAGATCCTTATTGTATGAATGGCTAAGATCACGTCAGATGCTTGTGGCCAACTTGCTAGGTATCATAGCCGTAAGATGATTTTGATTGGACGGCGTTATTGTCTACCAGGCGCAGTCTATATCTCTAAATTTTCTGACACATATTCTCATTCATCAGATTAAAGCTTAATCCAACTATTTTCATTTCTTGCAGATCTTTCTTTTAAAAGGGTATCTTTAATTTTTTTTTTTATTACTCTTCACGAGCCCGGATCAGGGCGATCTATTGCCAACTGGCCTTTGTGGCTTGAAGAATTGCTTTTAGGCTTTCTTCGCTTTTAGGATTGAGGTTTAATTGAGAAAGTTGATTAAAAATTAAAAATTAAAAATTGACTTTTAATTTATTTTAAATTATATCTTCTTATATTTTTATATATATTTTAAATAAAATTAAAAAATTAAATTTTAACCAATTTCTAAAATTGAGCTTTGGGTATGTACTCATATTTTTTTCTCACTGCACGTTATATATTGTGGGGGTTTCCCGTGAACAAGCTCGGAAATTGGGGCATCCTGTCAGTTTGAGATTTCCAATGTTGAAAATAATAATCCCAAAAAAATAAGGGCCAAGTATCAATTACCCAAATAGACTTTCATCAATTTGACTGAGGGTTCGTTTGGCAAGAAAAGTTTGGAGTTTTTTTGGTTATTTTAGGTACAAAAGATAAAAAAGATTATTTTAGTCACAAAAAATAAAACATCACATCTAATCCATAATCATTACACTCTTCTCTCATAAAAAAAGTTAAAAAAGCTAAAAAGCCAAAAAGCCCTTCCCAAATCAAGCTTTTTAGCCCAGGTTAAAATAGTCAAAAAAAGTTAAAAAGTCAAAAAGTCAACCCACTTCCCAAACGGAGGCTTAGGGTTGTTTTTGGTGGAATTTTGGAGTTCTTTGTAGTTTTATTTTTTAAATATTAAACCCAACAATTATAGGTCAAGTTTGGCATGATTGAAAAAAGACAAAAAGTCAAAAAGTCACTATCTTATTTAAGTCACATCATTTTATTTAAGTCACATCACCTCTCTAATGCATCACTTCAAACCCAACTCATATTTCATAAAAAGTCAAAAAGTGCACTTATTTAGTCTTCCCAAACTAGGCCTAGCAAAATAAAAGTTTAATAATTTTCAAAATTTTTTATAATTTACAAAAATAAAAAGTTAATGCCAAACTCCACCAAAGTATAATAATTAGGGATGAAAATTACTTTTGCCTCTGTTTGGGAAGTGAGTTGGTTTTTTGGCTTTTTAGCTTTTTTGACTATATGAGCCTGGGCTCAAAAGCTTAGTTTGGAAAGGACTTTTGGCTTTTTGGCTTTTTTGATTTTTTTGTGAGGCCTCGTTTGGCAAGAGGCTATTTTAGCTAATTAGTCAAAAAGTTACTAAATTAGTCAAAAAGCCAACAACCCATACCAAAAAGTCAAAAATTCTCTTTTCTCTCTACTTTTTGCACATCTTTTCGTAATTAGCCAAAAAGTCATCCCAAACATACAAGCTTTTTTTACCTATCTTTTTAGCCAAATAGCCAAAAAGTTACTAAATTAGCATGTTCCCAAACGAGACCTGAGAAAAGAGTGTAATGATTATGGGGTTGAATTGGATGTTTTGTCTGTTGTGGCCATGAGCCTATTCTGTCTTTTAT